GGCAATGTTTGAGCATTCGTATAAGAAAATATTCGTCCCACAAATTTAGGTTGCTTTTAGGCGGATGTTGCTCTCATCTGGATTGCTATTTCATGCCTTGATATAGGTCTACTATTTCAAACTGCGTTTATTTTTCTGTAGTACTTGCCAAGCAAAACTTCACTGTCGACAAATATCGAGCAATGATTACCCGTTGTGCTAGGACACTCAAGATCTAAACCACATTTCCCAAAAGTAGTTCAAATGATCTTTATTTCCTTTAAGGCGCCCCCCCCCCCTTTCCACCCTACCCCACCCTCAATCCCATTTCTGCCATTCTCCATACCCCTCCTCCCCCCCCCCCCATTTTTTCAACGGCCACCATCAGCGCACCAGCCTTTCCTTTTCTCTCCCTCCACTGCCCACTCTTTTCCAAAGTACCTAGGGCGTGGTCAGTGCCTCTGGTCACGCCATCCATGAGTTGACCGGAGGTGAGCCTTGTGCCTGGTTCCCTCAGGATTAATAAAAACGTTTGCTTATAAATGGCGAAACCCTGGACATCCGGTATAAATCAAAAATGTAAAGCTTCTTGGGATTTGGGGAGACTCGATAATATTGTTTTATGGCTCCAGTTCTGATGACCGGTATCTTTGGTGGAACGGTTAGGCTTTCAGTGGGTGGTTGGCGGGTGCTCTGGTGTGGTTTGTTGCTTCTCTCTTTTTTAAATATTTATCATCATTACCTCTCTTCATTCTTCATTGCATTCGTTTCGTTTCTCTCTTGTAACACTTTTTATCTTCGGTGCTCATATGACCTATTAGTATTGCGAGTGCAAAAAACATAAAACAGGTTAGGCTCTTTACGTTGCATACAAAACACGCCGGTTTTTGATTTCTTCATGAAAAAGTCTATAATAATATCGTATAGAATATGTTACGCCAATCTTTCTGCCAGGATGCTTTACCCATTCTGCCCAGGTTTTTTCTGACATGCCAGTTTCAACCCGCCTAGATAATGGATCTCAACTAAGTCGCCGGGAGCGTAAAACATAATGTGCAGTCAGGTCCTGATGCCCTTTGAGAGTCCGCTCAAAATCGTGATATTCACAACAACATTCCTGTAGGTTGTTCATCTTCAGATGTAAGCCGGCTGCCTTTTGTTGAAAAAGACGTGTATTACTGAGCGCACCCATGTCAGTTTGCATCATGTTGAGTTATAATATGATGCAGATGGCCATGCTTACAATACGCAAAAGAACGTTCTTGAAATTGGGTAATTTTAGAAGTTGTTTTCAAAGCTCTACAACAACTGGGCTAAGTCCTGTCAGAGGTGGGTGTTGATTTCAGATATCCTTCCTTGAAAATAGCCGTACAGTGTTGAAAGGGGCTCAAATCAATACCCCGGCATTACCATGATTATTCTCGTTTACATCAACGATCTCCAAGTATGTACTGGCTGTCATAATAAAAGTTCCTTCCCCTGTTGAAAATGAATATCATTATTTTCCATTACTTTAATGGATCCCAAACAGTCCCAACTAAAACAATTTGTTTTTCTTTTACGCTTTTAGAAAATAGATGAAATTATTGATAGTATATACATCGTTGACCAGAGTTAAGAGAAGTAATTCGACACAACAGCAGTCTTTCAGCTCTTAGTGCAATTACACTGGGTGAGCGTATTGAAAAAAAGAAAGGGGGTGGGGCATATTAGTTTAAGCCGTATCAGTAGGAAAGGGTAAATGTTTGCTGTAGGAACGAACTGTTCTATAGAAACAGGGGTCCCTACACTTTTTTTAACCAGGACAGCCAAACAGAAACCCCACAGATAGAGCAAAGAAATGGTGCCTCGTTAATAGATGCAATTTCCAAACATCTTTTGCTTATAACGTGATTACTTTTTATTAATTTTTGGAGAGTCACTGAGTACACGACGCAAGGCATGACGTGGTTCCGGGTTGTGAAGAAAAGAATGGATAGACGAAGTATTACCTTTGCACTGGAGTAATTTTCTTTTTTAACATAAGGTATATTTCTTATTTACACATTTGCCCATGTCATGTACTCCATATTTCATCATCGAGAATAGGCTTACTATAGTTTATTGTCAGTGTTTAGTATCTTCCACACATCCTGAAGGCATTGTCATCTGGGTGAGACTACTAACATCTTAAGGTTACGGGCTCTCAAAATGTAAATCACCTTGAAACAAAATATGCCACATTGGGCTCAGGGGGAAAAGGTACGGTATCTGAAGCATTAAAAGTCAAGATTTCAATTATATTATTTTACGGCTGACCTCAAGAATAGTACAAGTAGATACTTCCCGAAAGAGCAGACGACCAGCAGTTGCAGCCCATTGCCCTCCGAAGTTCTTGAGCGGGAAAAATGACATGGTATGATTTCCTGGGGTCATAAAAAATATTTGTATGATTCCCGTGTAAGCCGCGTGCTCCTTTAATTATGTATAGGCTACGAGCCGACCAAAAACAGCATGTGAATGCACTCTTTGTGGTGGCCTCAGGGTAAATAGATTTTTCTTTCCAAATGCACACGTAAGTTAGCCTGGATTATACAAACAAATAGTATCCCTTTGTCTGCTTGTAAACACATGCTTTTCCTCTACTTTTAGCTATCCACCCCTCCCCCCCCCCCAAAAAAAAACCATAATGCAACACCCACAGAATCACTTTCACTGCATTTCCTCATGTCCTCAGATTAAAAAGTGAACGGTGGCAGTTTAAACTGAATATACATTTATTTGATCTATGGCTAGCCAGTTGAGTAAAATATCAACCTCAAAGTTGTTCTTTTCCTCTATTTTTCCTTGAATAACAGACTATGGATAAAGTACCCTTGATTACTAGTGACGCTCAATCTCATCATAGATAATTATGTTCCTCAGATCTTCTGCAGCGTATTCTATAACTTAAATCTAAGATTTAATCCTTGCAATTCCAGTACTGCACTAGATTAGGCGATATTGTGTGATCTTAGCCTTGTTTGAGATTCATATGTTTGGGCTCAAATGGGATTTCTTACCGCATTTAACTAAATCAAATCAAGTGAGATAGATACGTATTTGCATTAAGAACTCGATCCAAGGGAAATGTAAACTGCCTTCTTTTGAAAACCATGGGCTATCAGTGAGCAAAATGAAATTGCTCGGATAACGATTGTGGTCAACTCTTTGAAAATGCTCCCACTTTCCCCCTCTCGATTTCCTGTGACGCACCTTCTTTGCCCTTTTTCACCAGGTCACTATTTTTGTCCTATCAACAGTACAAAAATCACACTTACACTAAATCTACGACAGACATTGGAGATCATAGTTCTCCTTTCAACGTTGTGCTCGAATGCTCTTAAAGAGTATACATTATCCTGATCTTCCCGCGTCACCCATCTATGTAGACTCTCTAAGTAAGTTGGTCTGGGTCTACCCCTGCGTTGTTTACCTTCAGTTTTGCCAGAGAGAGCATAGTCCATGTATTGGTTCAAATTACTCACTTCTGTCCTAAAATAGCAAGGTTGGCTCTTCGCAGAAGCGTTAAGCACACATAATTATGTTTGAAAAGGGGGGGGGGGTGTATCATAATATATCTTTCTAATATCTTCGTCTTTCAGTGAAAATGATGTATCCCACTCTATCCAGTGTTCTTGACGGGTAGATCTAGAGTTGAAGAAACCAGTCTTTCTGTAAATGATCTTCGAGCCGTGTCCATGAGATCGTAAAACATGCAGTCTCCTCTGACAAGCGTACTTGGTTATGTACAGGCTTAACCTTCAGACACAAGGCGTGGTTCGCGGCGTTCTGTCACATGTATGTATCTGTAAAAAGGTGAAACATCATTACTCGGGAATGTTTACTATGGTCACATACCCTTGAAATATTCGAAACGTAAGTTCTAGAGTGATTTTTTTGTTTGTATGATTGCTTGTTTTGTTTCGATTGTTTAGTTTAGTATGGGGTTGTTGTTGCTTTTTTCTATTTTGTTGTTGTTCTTTTTCTTCTTTACATAGTTTTTCCGAGATGAATTCTTCTTTGACAATTCTGTATAAATACAAACCCCGTTTTTAAATGATCTTTTAAGATAGATTTTTCTTTTCACGACACTAAGAGCTGAAATGCGACTATATATTATGTGGGGAGAAGTCGGAAAATCAAGCAGGCTTATTGACTTGAAAATCATTTTCGCACTTTCTGAGATATGGTGATTTCTCAGTCTGTTGCTCTTACATATTACCAGAGACTTATATTTTCATAATACATGTAATGCCTTTTATGAATGTCTGGTTAATTTTCAAAAACAACCATACGAAAGACAAAATTGAAAAAAAAAAGAACGCAACAATATACACAAAATAACTAACTCTCTTACTATAGTCGTCCTGTTCATTTAATTTCCTCGTGTGTGTGTGCGTGAGTGTGTGTGTGTGTGTGTGTGTGTGTGTGTGTGTTATTTTGTTGTTTTGTTATTGTTGTTGTTGTTTTTGGAGGGAGTTGTTTGCTGTCCTGCTTGTTTTCTTTCCAAGGGTATATAGTATAATTATGTATAATGCTATCACGCAACATAACAGCCTCAGTTCCAGCCTTTTGTTAAAAGTGAACATCTGTGATGTTATTGAAAAACAGAGGGAAAAGTAGTTTAGAGAACTGTCCAGACGAACATGAACACGCATTCAGTTCGATTTTTTTTAAAAGAAAGATAAGATCTTGAAAAGTGGTTTATGTTGCAAATTCTTATTTTTTTCGCCTGTGACTCGAAATATACTGGCTTACTTTTTGCCCAATGTGGATCAGTGAATCTTTTTTTTTTTCTTTTTTTTTCTAGTTTTCCATAGACGAACAGCCATCTGCCCGCAGTGCATGTTGCTATACAACAGGCCTTTTCTCGACACGGCAACAGTAGAGAAATCATTAACCATACACGATTCGTTCGTTTCATGACCTTTTCGTTCTGTAATTTCGGATGTTATTTTCATGCCTTCCTCTTTCAATTAATAAGTTCTATGGAGGCATCTGATGTTCACACTTTGTGGAAAAAAAAACCGTCTTCCAACGCTGAGCTCGCTCGGCCGAGAGTAAATAAATGAAATCGGAATTCGGGGAAATGCTAAAGGTGATGAAGGCTAAAAGCCGAAGTGGCATTTCCAGATCTAAGTGAATTCTTTCAGCATTGATTCCCAAGGGCTTTCAGAAATCTGTCTGCTTTCATATTTTTTATACAGAGTCTGCTTTCATATTTTTATATGGAGTTTCATGTTAAGGTGCAGAGAGTGGGGGGGGGGGGGGGGGGGACTGCCAGAGCCCACTCAATTCAGTAAATGGCAGTAAGAGGGAAAAGGTTGTGGGGTTTCAATACTCCTACTTTTCGCCAAGTGAGTAAATTTTTTTTCTTCTTCTTTTTTTTTGGGGGGGGGGATAAGCCGGTGTCACAAAACCAGATTGATTTTACATATAATTATTTTTGCTCTGCTCTGTCTGCAATTCTGGAAGTCTCACCCAACCCCCCCCCCCCTTCTCTATCTTTCTTTCCCTCTCCCTCTCTGTCTCTTATTCTCTCACTCTCTCTCTCTCTCTCTGTCTCTCTCACTTTCCCAGTCTTTATCTCTTTCTCTCTCTCTCTCTCTCTCTCTCTCTCTCTCTCTCTCTCTCTCTCTCTCTCTCTCTCTCTCTCTCTCTCTCTCTCTCTCTCTCTCTCTCTCTCTCTCTGGTTCTTTCCCCTTCTATCTCTTTCTCTCTTTCATGTTTCCTCCTTTCCCGCTATGTATTTATCTATCATGCTATCTTTTTTGTCTCTCTCTTTCTCTCTCGCTTTCTCTCCCTCTATCTCTCTCGCCTTCACTCACTCTCTCTCTCTCTCTCATTCTCTCTCTCCCTCTCTCTTTCTTTCTCTCGCTTTTTCTTTCTTTCATTCATTCTTTCTCTCTCTGTCTCTCTTTGTCTCTGTCTCTGTCTGTCTGTCTGTCTGTCTCTCTCTCTCTCTCTCTCTCTCTCTCTCTCTCTCTCTCTCTCTCTCTCTCTCTCGATTGCTCGCTCTCACTCTCTCCCTTTCCCTCTCTCTTTCTCTTTCTCTCTCTCTTTCTCTCGCTCTCTCGCTTGTTCGCTCTTTCTTTCTCTCTCCCGCGCACAGACACATATATGCAGTCATCCACCCCCCCCCCCCCCCACACACACACACACATACACACATACACACACAAACACCAGTGCAAATATATCTATATTTCTGCAGCCTGCTGCAAGATTGTTATATGTTTGTGCTTGCATGATCACTAATACTCAAATCGTTATGTGCTTGATTTTTAATTAATAGCGTGTCAAAAGATTTCATCGACAATGTTTACGAATAGATTGCAGCATTTCGCCTTAGAATAATGTTCAATATTCGTCCAAGCATCATCTTTCCATCGCCCGGAGGCTCAAGAGATTTCAGAACACTTTCAAGTCCAACGTTCTTTCTTCTAATTTCCGTTTCATAAATAGTTTTTAGTAATTTTTCGACACGGTTTTTATACAACCTCACTCGTATTGCTAAATATTTAAAGTGCTATTGATCGAGTGGTTTGTGTGAGTTTGCACGTGTTCAGGCGCACTCATCTAAAGTTCATCCGTTATGTATTAATTCTGTTACCTAACCATATTATTATTATTGATCTGTTGATTAGAAGTGCTTGGCTACGGAATGGACGAGAGAGTGCGGCTCAGAACATGTTTCTTCCTTGTTTAGAGACTCTTGTTACTATTGTAGTAACAATCGCAGTAGTACTTAAAATTATTTATATCAAAGTGATTGTTAACGTTGTTGTTACCGCTGCTTCTGTTGTCATTGCTTTATCATTACAGTTGTTTCTTCTTTGATTTTAACACTTGTAAACATTCATTGTTGCTATCATTTTGCCTCACAATTGTTCCCTGCGTGGTTAACAGGTACCACGATGCGTTTTCTCCTTCTTCCCTATCAAGCATCTGCCATCCTTATCCCTCCTCCTTCTTTTCTCTGTATGTTACCCTCTATAAAACCTATAATCTTCGACATTTATGTCCTGTTTGTGTTGCAAGTTCCGTAAATTAGAACTCTGATTTTTTTTAAACTAAAAACACAACAACAACAACAACAACAACAATAGTAATAACAACGATAGTAACAACAATAACAATAACAACAATAACAACAAAGGCAGCAACAACAACAGCAACAACAACAACAATAACAACAACAACAACAATAGTATTAACAACAACAGCAACAACGATAACAACAATAACAACAACAACAACAGCAACAACAACAACAACAATGACAACAACAACAACAATCGTTCACTATCTTCCCCCACAGGGTCGTAACGGACTTGGGAACGTCTACGTTTGGGCGTCAGGTGACGGAGGACCTAACGACGACTGCAACTGTGATGGCTACGCCGCCAGCATGTGGACTGTCAGCATCAACTCGGCCACCAACGACGGACAGACCGCTGGCTACGACGAGTCCTGCTCCTCCACCCTCGCTTCTACCTTCAGCAACGGCAAAAGCAGCTCTCGGGACGCCGGTGTGGTACGTTCTGAAGTATTTGTTGTACCTTGTACTTATCCAATCGTTCTTTGTTTATTGTTTGCTTGTTTTGTTTCGTGTTGGTGTGAGTGCTGTTGTTGCTGTTGTTGTTGTTGCTGCTGTTGTTGTTGTTGCTGTTGTTATTGATGTTGTTGTTGTTGTTGCTGTTGTTGTTGTTCTTGTTGTTTCTGCTGCTGCTACTAGTGTTGCTAGTGCTACTGGTGGTGGTGGTGCTGCTGCTGATGGTGCTGCTAGTGGTGTTGTTGTTGTTGTTGTTGTTGTTGTTGTTGTTGTTGTTGTTGTTGTGGTACTATAAATGCCATAGCAACCAGCTCTCGTTATGCCTCCCTGTCCTCTATCTCTCTCAAAGCGTCACTCAGCCTCATGTCTGCCCAACCCAGGAATTCTCACTTCTTACTTCCTACTTACCCCACTATCACAGACGACTTTACCCCCAGGAAGGTGCCACTGTCAGAAGTGTCTTTAGGCCATTCTCAAAAGGGGGACATTTCTTGTTCTAATGCACAGTAGAATTGTAAATGGGCTGATCCAACAACGTCATGCTCATAACTGTCTGAACTACAACAGGGAACTGCAGCTTTTTTTTCCCTAATCCCTACTATCGTCATTTTCCTCCAATTCTTTTGTATGTTTGTCACACTCTTGTGACCCGCTATTTCCGAGGTGCCTTGATAGTCGAAGCAGACTTTGTGCTGTTGAAGCTAGAGAAGTGAGCAGAGTAAGTCTGATTCCCTGTAAGGACTTCTTTGTTGACATTCACCCCTTGGCGCTCATATGACCTTATGCAGTTGCGAGCGCCGTAAAACCTCTACTAAAACAAACAAAACAGACGACTTAGCAAACAGCTCCCTCCAACCATATCAGCTCTTTGCCTATCTCCGTACATCGTTACCCTTCAGGACTGTCCAATCTAGGGTGTTTTCCCTTCTCTTCATGCATCTACTTCTCGTACAAATGTTTTATGTGCTCCAGCAATGGCATATATCTGACCGAAACCATGATTTCAAGGCAATGTTGTCTTTGCCTTCAGGTATGTATTTACAACAAAAGAGCACTGGTTACGGTATTTTCTAATGTAACGTACTGTCATAAAATTATACCATTTGTGTTACGACACAGTTGAATCAGGCGCTTGTCAGGTTTTTTTTAGTTTATGGAGTTGTTGCTATCATAGAGCTGGTTCATTTGTCTTGCTTTTGAAGAAAAAAGTTGTCCATCTATTTTCAGAAGAAGTGGGGTATTTTAGATTGAAGGAGGTGCGGGTCATAAGGTTTCGGAGACAAAAATTAGCGAAAAAAGGCCACCAGAGTTTTGTAACTTCCAAAGCTTAGATCAAGTCCTTGGAAATTGTAAATTTACATTCTTGTGCTTTTAATCAACATTTTTCAGTAGAAATCTACACATAAACGATGTTGTCAAAAAAGGAAATTTGACAAAAATTACCAAACGGGAAGAAGAAAAGCCGGTTTTTTTCATTTCATTATTTTGACGAGCGCCTGATTAAACTACCCTGCCTCAAATTTGTTATCTGTTCATATTGGAAGAATAGAAGGGGGGAATTGCTTTGTATTCCAAATAAGAATCTAGTGTGGTGTTCCAAAGTCTTCATCTTTTTTGTAGGCGTATTGTCAAAGCACAAGTGCTTTTATTTATTGTTGAAACTCGTCAACAAAGTTTTACTGCCATTATTATATTTTTCTGAAAACTATGGCGAATAAAAATAGAGTGTCTCGTAAAATGCTGGGTACTGCCAGATTATTGTCATTGAAGCGAAGTAATGTTCCTGCTCAGATCGATAAATAGATCGAAGAACGTTTGTTTTTCAAAGCATGTTAACTCTAGAATCATCGCTTGTGGTTTTTCATAGCCCGCAGGGCATGGGGATGGAAGTGTCTATAGTGCTTCAGGCGAGTTCTTAAAAGAAATTGTACGGATAAAGGCACAAAGACACATTGAAGATTTTTTCCAATAACTTAGTAGCCCACCATATCAACTCTTTTTCATTTTTTTGAAAAAAATGTCCGTGCATTGTTCCTTTTCTTTTCTGCTGTCCTATTCATGATTTTAAAAAGCACCTTTAGGGAATCGATAAATCAGAAGTTAGGAGAAAGGGGAATGGGAAAAACGCAGCATTGCAAAGGATCATACTGAAAGAGACAAAAGCCCCTCCCACACACACATATACATACATACTTACATACACCCTAGCCCTAAAGGGACCGATGATCTTTTTGCCCTTCTCACTTGGGAGCTCACAATGCATTTCAGTCGACTCCAAAAAGATAGAATTTCAAATCCTGTTACAACACCCTGCAACTTGATGGAAATAGGATGCACGATCAGGAAATAATGTGTTATGGGAAGTCATGGTTTTGTTTGGGTTTTTTTTGTTGTTTTTTTGGGGGGGGTGTTGTTTTGTTGTTTCGTTTTGTTTTGTTTTATGGGGGGGGGGTCATTCAAAGGAACACATAATAAATACGATTTGTACAGACTTCGATTTGATTAGGATGTTGAAGTTCGACTGAAATTGATTTGACGACATGGATTGGAGGAAGTGCCATGGCATTGAATTTATCGATCTCCCCATTTGAGCCAAGACCGGCACACAGAGAGGGCGTGCAGGGATCGATAGTACGATCAAAGCATTGCAAAGTGCTTCTGTCATTGCGTCAACACCCTCTGTGCGTTGGCCCTCGAAGGAATATTTCACCCTACAGTTCAAGTCAAACACGAGTGCTCGGGGTGCCGATGATAAGCAGCTTAAAATGTCTCGTCCTGACAGCTCTGACCTTTTTTTTCTCTTTTCCTCCTACTGTTTGTTTCTGTTGTTTGTTTGGTTTTTTTCTGTGGGCTTTTCTCTCGATGCACCACGGTTATTCCATTTGGTGTTTTGGGCTTTTGCTTCTTTCGTTTTTCGAGAAACCTTTTAGCTACCGTATCGACTTTTCAGAAAATTACTTTTGCTTTCGTTTGTTTTTGTTGATTTTTCTGAACAGGGGCACTTGGGTGGAACGGGTTCTTGTCCCTGGGGCATGCATTATTGTCTCTGCGATAAAAGCTTGCTGTGGGGGTGAAAGAAATAACATGTAGCTAGAGACCTGGGGAGGAAAGTGGTGATGAAATAAAGAAAGAATAAATGGGCAGACAGTAGGTGGAGGAAGAGATAGAAACAGAGATGGGGAAAGAGAAAGAGAAGAGAGAGGGAGAGAAAAAGAGAGTTGGGGGAGAAAGGGACAGAGAAGGACAAACCGGAGACAAAGGCAAGATTGAAAGACAAAACAACCTGTACTGTTGATGTTACTGCGGGAACAAAAAGATAGGGGAAGAGGATGAGATGGGGGGGGGGGGACAAAAGAAAAAAATGGTTGTGAAATAACAAAAACATAAATAATTGTTTCTCATATTTTTAAAAATAGTCAGAGTTTTAAATATGGTTTAACATACGACTTGTCGCTCTCTGCAGGCCACCACAGACCTATACAACAACTGCACCGCCAGTCACTCTGGGACTTCCGCCGCCGCCCCTGAGGCAGCCGGAGTGTTCGCCCTTGCTCTGGAGGCCAAGTAAGTCACTTTGTGTGTGTGTGTGTGTGTAGGAGAGGGGGGGGTTGTGTGTGTGTGTGTGTGTGTGTGTGTGTGTGTGTGTGTGTGTGTGTGTGTGTTTGTGTGTGTGTGTGTGTATGAGGGAGAGAGGGAGAGAGAGAGAGAGAGAGAGAGAGAGAGAGAGAGAGAGAGAGAGAGAGAGAGAGAGAGATAGAAAGAGAGAGAGGGGGGCCGAGACAGTTATTTGGAAGAAAAAAAACGATGGTCCAGGAAAGTTATCGTAAAGTTCTGTGGGCCACCATAGGAGTAAACTGTTATGTGGGGTGTTTTTGTTTGTTTGTTTGTTTGTTTGTTTGTTTGTTTGTTTTGGGTTTGTCTGTTTTTCTTTGGTTTGTTTTGGTGCTTTTCCATTTTGTTTGGTTTGCTTGTTTGTTGTTGTTGTTTGTTTTTGTTTGTTTGGGGGGGGGTTCTTTGATTAATAGTTTGCTTTTAATCACGTCTGGTAACGCTTCACGTTTTCCATTTCTTGATTTTAAGCAATATTTCATAAGATCGGGGAACCTGATACTCTTGTTGGTGATTTGTCACCTCAGAGGTGTTGTTTATAGTGGTGAGGACTTGTACTTGTATGAAAACACAAGTTACACAATCCAAAATGCAGTTGTTTTTTCCGTGTTTCTCTTAAGAAGATCTTAATGGGTTAAATTTCCGAAGAAGAAAACATCTTGAAAACCAATTAATTGTTAACGATAAATAGCAAACGCAATAACCGTTTACGGAAAATTAAATTACTTATATCACACGAATAAAGCGTAAAGTTCGTCCTTGCACAATTGAAAATATTTTTTGCACGTCCAAATAGTAGAAATATATGAAATATCAAAGTATGTCTCAGACTACGTTCAACAAAGAAGCTTGCCAATCATCGTGAAGTAAACTGCACAAAACAATACATTATGGAGACTGGGATTTCCACACTCGCTAGAGTCATGGACTGAATGTTGGTTAATGAAAAATTCAAAGTTGGGCACTTGGCATAATCTCAAAACACGTATCAGCTTGATTTTTCGGGGGGGGGGTCTTTTTTCCACTCGCTCATCGTTCAAGAAAATGCAATCTAGGGGCGTGTTGAATTTACAGCTGGATGTAACTCTTTTAGTTAGTGCTACTCCAATCACTCGTGTCTCGGAGATTGGAGGTTGGGCTGTGTTTGATGGACTACAAAACATTCGAAACGGATTTAATGTGGGGCTGATGATGCAGTTGTACAGGACTTTGCCTTGACCTCGTTGCCTTAAATTCTTAGTGCTGTGGTAGATGGAGATCCCACATTCCGTTGCCGGTCTGTTCTCACACACAGACAGAGGAGAGAGAGAGAGAGAGAGAGAGAGAGAGAGAGAGA